GAGTTTTTCCATTGTCTCTTGAATACAACCAGATTCATCTGAGACCACTCAGAAGGCAGAGTACAATCATCCATGGCCAGAATAGTTACAGAAATGCTGGGATGTTTTCCAAGAGATGCTCCAAATGTCACTATAGCTCACAGGACTGCTCTGGCAAAAGGGAGTACAAGGCACTGCAGCAGATCTTGGAACCAGGACTGGGATTGCTTAAATGGATTGTAAACTAAATGTTGATTTTTTTCATCTCAGTCAAGTTGCTCATTTTATCCCAGTCCATAGAAGATAACTAGGCCAGAAGAATCAATGAAGCACTCTGATCAAAGGCAGGGCAGGAAGCCTTCATATAAGGGTAACATTTCAGCTGGGATTGATAGGACTTAGATAGTTAAACAACCAGTGAAGATGCCAGGGAAAGAAATCCATAAGAAACACTTCTTTAGCTGGCCATGCAAGGATTCAGCTGACTTCTAAACAGAGACTAGGAACAACCATACAACTGAAAAAGTTATGGAGCCATAGGATAAGGTCAAATCAAACAAAACAGGCAAAATCAGCAGAAGAGATCTTATACAAAAATGAAAACGAGATGCTGTAAACTGGAACAATACTTGAAAGGAAAGTTGAGAAACCATCCCCTCTCCAAAGTGCAAGCATGCACTCCAGCTTTGTCCTGACTCTGTAGCCGGATGCAATTCCCTCCTTCCATACATGCTACACTCAGGTTTACATGGGAAAAGAAATCAAACCTGGATGGTGTGATGGGAATCATAGTACTTCTCAGTCTGTCCCTGCTTTGACTGACCAGTGACCAGGTTTCCAACTACCCTGCAAAACCATCCAGCACTCAGGGTATGTCCGATGTAGATTGTTGAGTCTCATGTGGATGCAGAAGAGGAAAGCAGTACACCTGCCAAGGCTGTGGGGAAAACAACCCTCTTAACCAATAACATTTTGAAAACTCATTATTAAGACTGGGGGGTTTTAAGTCAAATCTATATAACTGATAAAGAACATATTACTGGGTACAAGCCAAAGAAAAAAAAGGGGGTTATAACAATTAGCATTTGAAAACTTGTGCCTAATTGCTTCTGCCAGTCCACATGACTCCATTCCAAGTAACTTGGTGCTTGGTAACTTGGACAGGGTTTATTTCTGTCCATGTGTTTCTGTGAAACAGCCCAGAAACACCCAACAGAGAACTTGAACAAGTGCTCTTGTTAATATTAATAGTTTATGTGCTTCTATACAGATTTTTGTCTGAACAACTCAAGTGCTGCATAAGCCTCTGCTTAGTTTTTGCATGCAAACAGGGAAACTGAGGCATTCCTACTGCTACTTAGAGGTACAAATAGAGAAAAAATGGCCATTTTACACATTGTGGGATCCCTTCTTGAAGAAAGACTAAGGAATAAAAAGAGAAGGTAAAAATCCAATGTACAGCATTATAGAAAGTGAACAGCAGAAATTGAAGCACTATTCCTCTCCCAAAATGCCCAAATGAAGTTGGTTTGTGCATCACACCTTAGAGAAAAGCTAAACCAAAACCTTGTAAGAAATTCAAATCTTGCCCCTAATCCATTACAAATTTTGTTTTAATACACAGTAAAACCACCAGAGACACCTGTGGGGTGGCCTAACATCAGTATCAAGACGGCTGTGCTTCGCTCACACTCTCCATCTCCAAGGATAGCTTTTTTCTATTCCCCATACTTACACTGCTTTAGTAATTAGAGAACATAGTCTGACCTGTATCTTCTGTACTGGATGAATCCAAAAGCTCTAGATGACAGGATCAGGGTTGGAAAGGACCTCTGAGGGCCACCTGGTTCAGCCATCACTTCCAAGCCAAGCTAGCCTCAAAGCTACATCAGTGCTAGACTACATTTATGCTACCAAGCTAAGGAGCTATTTTTGTTCACTTACCTGAAGTTACAGTTGTAACTCTATATGTATGATTTCAATATGAAAACATGTGACACTTTAAAGATAATAAGAAAAATTTAAAGTATTCACTGGAAGAGGTAGGATTGGAAAAGAAGGTCTGATGGATTGCTCTAGGCATTTCCTTCCAGAGTATCTGTATGAATCTGTGTGGATGCTTTCCTCCTACTTCAAAATCACACAAAAACTTCTCATACTTCACATTTTTAAATTTTAACCTCCTGCAACATGGACCAAAAATTGCATTCCTAACATGAAATTAATGATAACTGTCAGGACTACTGTCTGGAGAAAAATCCTGAATATAGAACACATTTTAGAAAATATTTTTCATAAAAGGGGCAATAGTCTCGTGGAATTTGGAGTATTTATTATGTTACAGTAACAAAGCTGTGACTCGAGCCCCTTTTAAACTTGTTTATCAGTAGTTTATTTTTTTTTCTTGCATAAATATTTTTGAAATATTCAACAGAAGTTTAAGATATATAAATAGATATTGTAACTCTTGGTCTTTTTGAATGTGCAAACTTTCCTTATGCCTTCTCACACCCTACTCCAGTGGCAGAGTAGACCCCATCCTCAAATTATCCAGATTTCAAGTGAATGAAAAGTGCATGCAACTAAAAACTGTGAACAGTATGTGAGGACAGAATGCAACAAAATCACAGGACAGCCACGCAGCTCCTGTAGAAAGTGCAAAAAAAAATTGATGGAGAATATTATATTCCCTTCCTCAGTAATTGCATTTGCAGGTTGTATTTTTTTATCTTATTTCCTGAGGTTTGCAGTAGGTGTGTTTTCTTTTGGACACAAAGTCCTGCAGGTCCAAAGAGAAAACTGCCTGTGCTGTTTCCTCAGGACTACAGTTGGTAACTTGGACAGGCTTTATTTCTGTCCATGTTGTGAAAAACAGAGCAGGTTATAACACTATTAAAGCAACTTTGATGGATTTGCATTGCAGACATGGCTGTAGAATGGGTAAATTACATTACTGTAGCAAACTTCCCAGGCTACCCATACGGTTAAGTAGAAACTAAGAGTTTATAGCTTAATTAGAGGCATTTGTAAGTGAGGATCAGATAAACAGATATACAACTTAAAAGAGTGCATTGGCCATAAATTCTTTCATTCTAGATTCAAATCTGCTAATGTATGACTTCAAACACCTTTGACAAGGTTATTGAAAAGCCAAGCATCTTATTTCCTATGCCTTTGGAACCTGAAGTGGGAAGAAGTAAATGACAGAAATCATGTAATGCTGCCAGCAGAGCCTAAACATATTTAGATCTTTGTGATAAGTGTTCCAGAAATGTTTGAATAGGTGGCAGGGAAGAACACAGGACAAGGAATGAACAACTCTAAGCGGGGATATGGCCCTTTTGCTATCTTTGCCACCTTTTCTTCGCATTCCCTTTACAATTATTTTTACAATATTATGATGTAATGTATTTTTATTATATATTTTACAATACATTTCTTCTTTTTCACAGTCTTCCTTCATCCCCTGTGTCTTTTCTTAAATTGTTGATGAAATCCAAACTCATTTTGATGGAAAGGGTGATAGAGGCTGACTCTCCTGAGGTTTCACCAGTCTGTCCAAGTATCTATTCTTTCTCTCTGAAAACTTCCACGTAGATGCAATCTGGAAGTGTTTATTTTCAGACTTGGTTAGGATTTAAAATGAATTGTTCAGCAATGTGATGGTGATACTACATCCAGGCTGCAAGGAAACGACAGAGCAGAGCACCCAGGGCTTGAATAGCAGTTGAAACTTTTAAGGTGATAAGTAGGTTTAACACTCTTGCTGTAGTAAAGTTGTAGCCTTGGGTTGTAATCTGAAGTTGTTTCCTGTGAGTTACATTTTTTTTTTCAGATGCAGAAAGATGATTTTTACCAGACTGGAACACAGATAACAAACTTACTCAGCTAACACAGGAAAACCAAATATGCTTCAAAACAAGATGGGAAAATTGTCATTTCCATTTCCTCATGTAATTCCTTGTTTAGAAAATCAAGAGAGACACTGCCACGCAACAGACCAGATCTGAGCTTTATATAAAACAACTTCTGAGGTTCCAAACACATTTGTTTCACCAAGTGGGGAGAGTTTGTGACTGCTTAGAAGTCACTCTGGCAAAATTACCTCATCTTCCAATTTGCATCTATAGAAAAAACATAACGTTGAGTTAAACGCCTTAATTGTTACTCATCCTTTGATGTTTCCACAGAGGGTTTAAACACTGTGAGACCACTGGAGAACCATGAGCTCAATCCACGTCGCTTAAAGTGAGTCAAGAGCAAGCCACTGAAACGAGGCTGCAGAATCCGGAGGCTGAAAGTGATACCGAAAGTGCCGGTAACAACATAGCAAAGGGATTTAAACGTGAGCCTGGCTACTTCAGTGTCCCTTTAATGCCCGACGCCTTCGTTTCGCGACCCTCTCGGTGTTAACACCAGGGTTGCTTTGCTTTGGAAGTCTCCATCCCTGCCAGCGCCCTCCGGGAGCTTCCCTAAGCCTGGCGGCTGCCGCACCCAGACGCTCTTCTCTCCAGCGGCTGCCATCGGTAGGTATGCGCAGCCCACCGACAGCACCGTGGGCGGCGAATCCTACCGGGACGGGCTCCATTGCCCACCTCTGCACAGACCAACGGGAAAAATTTTTCATTAACTTTCCCCCTCCCGATCCCTCGGCGGAAGCTGGCGTCTCCAGAGTTCTGTCTGACCGGGGGAAACGGAGCGGGGAGGCTGCCTGTCCTCCGCCTGCTCCCCGGCCATCCCAAACCGGGGATGAAAAGGTTTTCCCCAAGTTTTCCCGAGCCCCCTCCAGCCCCACACGGCACCGCCTCCCCCGCGCCCCGGGCCCCGCCCCTCACCCCGCCCCGGGCCCTGCGAGCCGGCGCCCGGCCCGTCCCGGCGGCGATTGGTGGGCGCGGCGGGCGGCAGCCAATGGGCGCGGCGGAGCGCGGCCGGGCGCGGGCCGGGCGCGGGGCGGCCGAGCCCCATTAGGGCGGGGGGCGCGCAGGCCGGGCAGTCGCGGCGCAGGCGGCAGCGGAGCGGGCGGTCCCTGCCGGCGCGGCCGGGGATGCGCGTCCCCCGCCGGCGCTGACTCCGCGCTGCAGAGCCGCCTACCCGCCTCTCTCGCCGTCTGTGTGACGGACCCCACCGCCGCTCTCCTCCCGGGAATACGTCGCCGTCGTCCGGCCGCGCTGCGGGGAGGGTAAGTGGCGGCTCCCCGGGGAGTGACGGGCAACCTGCGGCGGGACGCCCGGCGGGTTTGACCGGGCTCAGTCCGCGGCCAGCACTATGCCTGTGGTGGCGCGGCTCTTCCCGCTGTGCGGTGTGTGTCCTGCGCCCTGCGCGGGGCTTGACCGTGAGGAGCCGCCCGACCCCGGAGCCGGCGCTCGGAGCGCCGCTGGCGCGGCGCCGTCCTGCGCGGAGCTGTCGGACGGGGCTGCGGGCTCGGCAGAGCGGGGGAGGAGGGGAGGGCGCGGGGAGTCCCGCCGAGCCCCGTGGCGGATCCCCGGGGAAGGTGTCGTGGCGCCGCCGCGGTGCCGGCTCGGTGCGCCCTGCGGAGCGAGGGGCGCGCCGGGGCCGCCGGGTTGAGCGAGGGTTCAGATGCGGGAGCTCAGCTGTTGCCTGTCAGTGGGTGACAACTGGCTCCTGCAAGGCAGCCTCCGCCTCCTCCCTTATCCTGAGCGAAGTAAGTTCTGCCCCGTGCAGGGACCCTGGCCGGGGGCGAAATCTCGGTCTGCCATCCCGGCAGTATCTTCTGCACTGTTCGCTGTTACTGGGGGTACCCCGTCCCCCGCACCTCCCCGCCTCTGCAGTACGGACCTCGCCGAAGTATATGCTGCGTTCCTTCCTCGGTGAAGAGAGCTCTGGAAGGGTCGTGGACCCTCCCCGAGCCCTTTCTCCCAGAATATTTATGCTCACCGCGGGATTTCAAACTCTAGCAGCCACCATTTATCAACCGACCGGGCTGGCTTGAGTCCGGGCGCCTTCGCTACGGTCCGAGCCCGCGGCTGCTGGGTCTGGCCTTGGGCAGGAATCTGTAGCTGTCCCCCAGCGGGGTGGCCGGGAAAGGCAAAATAGAGCACCCGCCAATACCAGTGTTTCCGAATGCCATCAGCTGGAGAGCGAGGAAACGCAGCGGGGGGTATTTTACAAGCGCGCTGAGAAACGTTTACACAGCCGACTTAAGGGTTAGCAATGCACATTCCCTACATGCTAAAACCTCGAATGTGGCAAAAATATGACTAGGGTTATTGTAGCGAAGTTCCCTGTGATCGTTGTTTAGCTGGTAACTGAGGTCTTTAAACTGCATGTTTTGCACGACACTCAAGAGTGAGTACTGAGGTTTTCTAGGAGGAAGGGATTTTCCCCCTTTAGCTCTAGTTACTGTTATTATTTCTAGGAGGAATTACGTGATTTGTACTACTCATTTACAATACAGGTATATCACAGTGGCCAGGTTTTCATCTCAAGATGTGAGTAGGTCAGAGTGGGCTTGGACAGAGAGCGAAAAGGAAAGGAGAAGGAGAGAGCAGTTACTCTGATATAGTGACAGATTCTCTCATTTCTCCCTGCAGAGCCCCGGATGAGCTGGGCTGGTGCAGTTCTGCCAACGGCACGGTTAATTGTGTCCTGTAAATCAAGGTCCACGGAGCTACTCTCTGTATAACAAAAGGTTCTGTAATGAGTAAGCCCAGATCAGTAATATAACAATTTTAACATAACTGGGCAAGGGGTGTGCATATGTGTGGATCTTACAGGGTTAATAGCTAAACTATTAAGATTGGAGTCAGATGTGGGTAAAAGCAACAGGAGAGTCTGGTTTTTCCTAATATCCTGTAGTATGATAACTCTGAAGAAGGTAATTGTTTTAAAAAAATCTGTTTCAATTTAAGATTTATTAAGCAAGAAGAACCTTATGTAAACATCAGAATCCCTTTCTTGTTTCAAAAGGCAAGAAATGGCTAGAAATGTCATTTGAACTTAAAGACTACAAACTATGTGTGGATTTTCATGTGTATGTGCAAGAATGTTATTAATCTCATTTTCAACTCAATTGTTTTACTTCTTAGGGGGACTGGGGTGTTTAACTCAGGCTTTTGGCAAAATGGCTTCTGCACTTCTAGGTTTTGTTCCCTAGTAAGTGAGTTTTTCCTTTTATAAGGCTTTTAATAAGACTTTCAGAATACAGAAGAGATAGCAAGTGCCTTCCAAAGGAGGAGAAATGGAGGGGATGGGAGGGGGAAACAGAGTTTCGCTTACATATTTTGTGAGTTGGGAATGTATATTTGTATATAAGGAGAGGATCTGAGGAATGACTTGGCATGCTAATGACCTGGCTTTTCAGAACTTCAAGAGTTTGGTCTGTCTCCCCCTATGGTTATAATAAGAGATTAAATGCATTTGGAATATTTAATTAATTAGCATATGAAAATAAGATTACTTTTACTTTGTTTTCCTGCGAAACTTTTCTATGCTAATGAATGTCTACGTTTTGCAGAGTAATTTAAATGGCTTTGTTTTGCATTATGTTTTTGCAGATCGCTTTGACCCTTTCTAATGCTGCAAGCCTTTGTATCATAGCTTAAAAGTCCTTTTGCTTTGTCATATTAATCCATGAATAAATATGTTGTCAATGACTGCTATACACAGCTTCTAACAGAGCAGACTGAGAGTTGCTCTTAAATTTAAGGCCTCTACTTGCTTGGGTGCTGTATCTTGTGCATTCCGGTATTAATTGGATGTGCAGTGATAAAGTCCCTTTAAAACAAACAAACAATCTGGGTTGTGTTTCTGTTTTCTACCACTACCTTACCCTAAAGTTAAAGAGATCCCTGCTGTTGGGGTGTGAAACCACACTTTGAAACGTTACTCTTTCTAATAATTGCGAAGCATTATTCATGCTTTTGGGAAAACTGTTGTATGATACAATATTGCATTAAGAATGCTTGACTGAGATGAGTGTATATTCACCAAGTGGCTTATATCAATATTCACTTTACCCCCTTGTATTAAGGCTTAAGCTTCAGTTTGGCCAGCTCTGGTTTTTACTTATGCTGTTTAAACAGAGGTAAACTTGAGGTTAGTTCTAGCCATTAGTATATGCTTGGTGTAAGCCATGCATGCTTAGGTCCTGCTCCTGGAAATGTTTACAGAAATGAGTAACTTTTACTTGAGTGCTTAAATTGTTTGGATTAGGAGTTGTATAATGGGAAGAACCAGCTTGGAAGGATACAGCACAGCAATCACTCATCTTTTCCCCCTCCCACCTTATGGCTAAAGAATGATGGGAAGAAACATGTTTTTCAAGTAACAGCACACTGAAGTCGTGGCACTTCTGGCAGAAATTCCCAGATAGACTATCAGATCAGTTTGCCAAAATTACATGCTTTTTTCAGAAACAGCTCTTTGGCTGCTGGTTCATTGACAAAGGGTATTTCCAACTACTGAAGAAAATTTCATAGGTGATCTGCTATAACTCTTCCTCTTTGTATTTTACTTGTTTGTAATATGTATATTATACTCTTTTTTAGCAGAAAACTAAATGAGTAAATGACTTTTTAGCACAAACTGACAATACTTCTCAAGCATGGTTTTGTGCAAGGAGGTTTTTCTAAATGTACAAAATGAGTGAAGTGCTCATATACAAGAGGTATGAGCCAATACAAATATTTTCAGTATTTTTAAAATATCTGCAAGTGACAGCTTTTTGCTAGTTTACCTTTTCTTGGAACACTGCCTGGAAGGCTGACTCCTTAAAAGTTCTTAAATATGGCCATCAGCTCAGTGAGTTGCTAGCTAGTAAAGCTGGGGTAGACAGTCTCTCAGGCAGGCCTTTCATTTGCAGTGGATTACGCATCAACAAAAGCTGGAACTATCTTATTTCAGTTGTTCTGTACCAAAGTCATGTACTCCTGTCTAAGGTCTATGTTTGAAACAAGAATTTATAGCACCTGATAGCTCTTGATGTTCTGCCCTCTGAACTTCTCTCCTTCATTTTCCTTTTCATCCCCTCTCTCCCCTCCTTAAGATGTAAGAGTATTATGGAGTGTGCTTCTAAGTTTGTATCTATAAAAGTGTTATTCAGTTGTCCCCCTTTTATCTAAGCACAGATCCCACAGCTTGCAAATACTGTGTTTGACTTTAGTAACAATTTTTTTTAAATGGTTCCAGTTGCATACACTATTGGCTTTGTGGAGCAGTTGCGTGCCAAAAAAGCATTTTCAACTGCCATCCAAATATTGAAATATAATTGCTTGCTTTTATATTAAGTAAATTTTGTTTCCTGTGATGTTTTTTTAACCCCCTTTTTGAGCTTGTTGCTTTCTAATCTTGGATCAAGTAACCCCAGTTTTAATACTACATGATTCCAGAACTAGGCTTCTGTCGGCAGCTTGCCAAATCCTGTCTAATGTCTGTCTTAATGTGGTGTATATGAAAACTGACTTCTCAGTGGATTTGATCACTGATTTGTATAATTGCAACCAGCGTGATTAAAAATCTGCATGTCAATATCATGATGCTTATAGTAAAAGTTAGTTGTTTTTTGTTGTTGTGTTTTTTTTTTCTTTTAAGCAGGGTGATATTATTCCCTTAAATTTTCTTTGAAAGAGTCTTCGTTGTCCAAACATCTTAATTTCTGAATGTTTGGGTGTTTTAAAAAGAAAATAGCAACAGGGATGCAGTTATGAATATAACAACATAGGTCTTGGATCGTGCTGCATGGTAGGACTCTTGCATCCTCTTGTTCTATAGGAAGCCTACATCTTCTCACCAATCTTAGAAGGACTGACATGAGACTCACATCTGAATCCTTAAACATATCTAGACAGACACTGCTACACCATTTCTCAAAACAATCCTTCTGTATTCCTGTGCTCCCTGCTGGAGCCATGTAAGTCACCTCTGACACAGGCAATGTAATTGTTCAGCTTTTCCCGTTTTGCCCTCCCCTAATCTCTTCATTAACAGAGTGCTCCAGTGACAGAGTAGTGCTAGCTCAGCAAGAGGCTCAGCCCAGGCACCCAGGCACTCTTGCTCAACCTGTCCAGCACATGGGCTGGTCGGACACTGCCCTCACCCATGGCCCATTTCTGTGGCAACACAGACACACAATAACCATGGCACAAATTGAAAGCCACTTTGCACTTTCAGGTGTGGATCAGAGTTGTCTAAGAGCAGTAAAACCTGACTTGTTTTCAAGTA